AATTCCTCGTCTTTTTGACAACATTGAAGACTCTGTCCGTGCTGCCGAGATCCTTCAGAAGCGCATGCCACGTGAAGAGCGGAACCGCATTGTGTGGTTCAACGCAAACAATTCACACGAGTTCCGTGAGGAGTCAACAAGGGAGTACCAGGAGGGCAAATTATACGGGCTGTATTGCACTGACTCATTTGGCATGGTATGGTTTCTAATGGTTCAAAAGATTGAGAATTACAGGCTTATATTGTATAACTAGGGAGTCGATATATCAGATATTGAACTCGTTGTTCAATGGCGGACTACATCTGTAAAAACCACCTTTGCGAATTACACCTATTTAGTACAAATTAGCTCTTAATAGACACAGTAGTTGGATAGTGAAAAATAGTGCAAAATCGAGAGGTCCCCAAAAATAATTGCACTATTTTGCACTATTAATGCAAATTCGTGCAAAGTAGCACTATAGTAGACAGAAATAGTGCTACAGTAGACGTTGATAGTAGTGGATAGAGTGGGTCTATGATTTCTGACTGGTGTAGAGATGCTTTCTATGACCTCAAAACCATCTGTTTATAAGCCCCAGATGCATTTAAAGTGCTGAAAAAATATGTGAAAAAAATGTCCTCAGTCAGTCTTGAACCCTCAACCTCACCTTATATGACACCTGTTCTGAGGTGGTGCTCTATGCCACTACACCACCAGAGCTTATATAAACTCTCTTCACAAGTACTATATATACCCATTTTTGCTAGACTTGGACAAAGTGGTGACACCTCCCCTTGAGATACACCTGCTGGGGCTTGCATATGTGTAATGTCTGGGACTATGTATATAATATGGAGTGTGCTATAGAGTATGCTTCATGATATGAATGCTATGCTGGCAGCCTAATCCTAAACATGGTAACAAGTTCTATGTTGAGTCATGCCCTCAAATACAAGTTAGCTATCATGGTGATTTTGCAGCTATAGAGGTGTGTAATGCTTGAGTTGAGAACTATGAGCTATAAATAAAGGATTGTCATCTTATTTGAGTCTCCCCTAAATGAGTAGTGCTAAAATAGCGCAAAATAGTACTACAGTAGTGCAAAATAGCGAAAATTAGAGGACCACATTTGCAGTAGTGCTATAGTAGTATCATATTGGCACTAAGTGGCACTACAGAAAAAGTGATAGTGAAGAGTAGTTATAAATAGCACCAAGCATGCCAATTAGTGCTTAGTTGCACTACCAAAAAAGTGTGTCTAAACAGTAGTACTAATGTAGATGATATTTCTGCTAACACTCTCTAATATAGATGAGATTATCTGAATAGTGATAATTAGTGTCAATTCGCAAAGGCTGTTTTTCCAGATGTACTTGCGATCTGGATAGCCTATGGCAACGATTTGGTCGCGCGGCTCGAGATCCCTCTCGGACAGCCCTCGCCGTCCTCTTCGTCGACCCGAAACATTTTGATGAGGAGAAGATTGAAGCCGCGAAGCGAGCTGCAAAATGAAAGGAGAAGGCGGAACAGAAAGCAGCTGGTCAAGAGATCACGAAGCGCGCGCGGGGGGGCAGGAGACACACACAGAGAGGAACGTAATCACGGCAAACGTGTTCGCACTACACCTGCAATTACGGAGATGGGAGTCGAGGAAAACATGGCGTCAGAGGGAGGTTTGGAGTCGCGCGCAGGAAGCGCCGGTCGATCCCAGGGTGTTGCGCCCATTGGCACCGGAAGCGCCCGAAAGGGCGATGGGGGGCAGATATCTTGGATGGTCGAGACTCCCGTCTTTTGCTTTGCGAACACCTGCGCATCTCTTACAAGCAGGCAATGCCCAAGGCCAGTGAGCAGCGAGGGCGGACAAAGAAGATGGGAGTTGATGGAGAGCTTGGACCCGAGATGGACCACCTCGTCAACGCCGGGACACGGGCAGGGCTGGGATGCTACCGTGTGCCAATTATGGCATACTTCGAAAATGACAGAGCTGGTATATCTTCTTTACCTTACTTGAGCGATTCACTGACTGAACCTTGTTCGATTACATAACAGAAGCTGATCACCGCGCTTGCTGTCCAGAGGACGGTGAAGGGTGCTCCCGCTGTCATGTCCCACCATCTCCTGTCTGCTGCTCCCTTTGTAGCCCTGGTCACCCTATTTTCAACATTCTTCTTCGCATCCCTCCCCCTCAACGTCCCATAGCCCCGCGCGCTTCGAAAGTCCTCACCCAATACAAGATGACCCCCACCGACGTCGCTTTCCGCGCAGAACTCAACCAGTACCGCCGCGAGCAGACGTTGAAGACGCGTGGTCTCGCCCACCTCAATAACTTGGGTGCCGGTATTATTATGGGCGACGACACGCTGGATCGGATTGCAGATTGTGCCCGGGCGCATAAGCTGATGACGGTGGAGACCCTCTATCAGGAGATGAAGTGGGCCAGGGCGCGCGAGCTAGGGCCCGAGCTCTTGAAGCTCGTTTAGAGGTACGTACTCCCACATTCATACATACCTTGCACACTAATTAGCTGTAGATACTATCCCACCAATACCCCCTTCATATCGACCCCCCTGGGCCCGCGACAGAGCGAGCAGCGTCCAGGGGCCGACATTCCTCAGACCGGCGAACACGTGGCGGCCGCTGCCGCCAAGACTCCTCGTCAATGCGGCGCCTGTGGTCAGTACAGTCACATCAGTAAGTGTCTGTCTTCCATGCTCTCGAACCGCTCTGAACGTCCCCCTAGAGACGAACTTGAATTGCCCTGCTCGCGACCAACGCTCTGGATCTGCCGACAAGGAGAATGCGACCACGCTTGGCCCAACGTCTGGAGTCGCCTCGGAAGAGGACCGTTTGGACGCATAAGGTCCGCACGGCATCTACGCCAACCGTACACGGCAATGATCGAGTTGTCTGCACGGTCAAGATCATAGCGAATCGCAGCAACAGGAGGGCGGTAGTTGAGTTGTCCAGAGGTTTTCAAGGTGGAACGCAGGGGCGATCGCAGACGGCGATGACGATGATCGAGTTGTCCGCGCGGTCGAGGCTCAACGCAAGACCCGCGGCCGGGGACACATAGACGTTAGGTGAATTCTAGTCGATAATATCAGTACTATATCATCTCCTCAGTGCTGAGGTCCTCTCCAGTCAGCTCCCCCTTCTCGTCATCGTCCGGCAGTCCTGCATCCTCCAATTTGCTACCCATCTGGCTCATCTCCTGCTGTGTCGTCGTCTCCCTCTGGAGCAGCTCCCATCCACGCGCTACCATGTCGGCAATCGTATGTTTGGACGTCCTACCAGCTATGTAATTATTAGGCAGTTGTTCCGGCGCTGTCAAGTACTCCAGCACCACTTTGAATGTCTTCCTCATGTCCTTTTTAGCATGGGCGTGGCTCAGGCCGCTTATGCAAAAATTTCTCTCGAACTTGGCGTGACTGCTTCGGAAGAGACGGACAAGAATTGACTCAAAGAGTATGCGCTCCTTCGTGTAGTTCGAACCGCTGCCCCCGTATGTGTCCTATATCGGTGCACGACAAAGTCAGACTCTGATGATCACTGCTCACCGTAGATCATATATGCTGATGATCGAGTTGTCCGCATGGTCGATTCGCTCACCTTGTTGTATAGGTTCAGCAGTTCGATAACCCAGTCAACGGCGCGAAATTCTCCCGGCTCTCCTGATGGGTTGACGAGCATGCGAAATGCGAAATGCTTTCCTGTATGTCACGTCAGTTATCTTACTGGTGTACACATAGTAGACGTTATCCGCTCACCTAAGACCCTCAGGGTAAATGAAATACAATGCGTGCGAGAAACGGAGGGTATAATTGCCGTACTTGTGCTTCCCTGTCGCGCGGAACAGGAGTATCCATGGGACCAAGACCGTCTCGAGTCGTCTGATGTCCCCAGTATTCATGGCGTACGAGAGCTCTTCATACAACAGCATGTAGTGGTGAGTCCGGATTGTATTCTCTTGAACCTGATCGCGCGTTGCAGATGAACGCGTCTTCAGCGCGTAGAGGTCGATCCCGTCGCCCTCAGTGTAATTCATAACAAGTCTCTCCGCAATCTCCTCTATCTTCGCCAGCGAAGGCTTCGACATTGCCCAGCTCTCCAACGATGCAAACCCCTCGCTCCTCAAAACCGCGACTCGCCAGGCATCCAGGCGTAGCACCGTTCCGACATCCGCAATCAGCTTGTGGCGCTCGCGGAATTTGGCGCCCGAGACAAGCCACGAGCTGTCATCGGGACGAAGTTTTGCGACAACCTTCATGAAGGACATGCTGTCGCGCCGCGCTTCCTCCTTCTCCGACACGATGCGCCAGAATGCGTCTGCGGCCGCCATCTTGAAGTGAAACAGACCGAGTCCAATTTCACATGACTGTAGTCGATTGTACGTCATTTTTTCTTGCTTTCTTTGGCGCTTTGCTGACCGGACATGTTCATATGTACTGAGGTCGCCGTAGAAGGGGGTAATTATTTCTTGTATGCTCTTGAGATGACTCTGTTCAGGTCGTGAGGGGTCGCCAACTCCACTTTGCATGTACATTGCCTGTATAGCCCCGATATTGCCCGCCATCTTTGACTGATTGATATCCGTTGCCCTAAAGGGCAAGTACTCGAGCTTACGGAGAGGCAGCATCTCGATGGGCTCAGGTACGCGAAGTTGAGAAAGGAATTGTTCAAAATAGGGGGGCCCATGTTCACATAAGGTTCGGATGAAGAACCATTTACGAAAACGACCACGGCGAGATAGCGTCCCAGGCTGAATAGGAGTTTCGGGGTGTAATTGCAAAAGACAATCTATGGTTGCCTCTGGACCAAAGGGGCGGGGATCGGATGCCAGCGGGTTCTCCTCGGAACGATCCCACACCAGACTGGAGCACTGGAGATCCTCCAACCGAACCAATGGGTCCAGGCGGAAGAGCGCGCCCAAAGTTAGGTGCATTAGGCGCTCTTTTGATCCTTCCACGGTGGGCACAAGGGAAACTTTTTCTGCGTCGAAGTTGTCGTAACCGTAGAATGTGAGAAGGCTCTGCCCAAGCCTGACAAGAGTCCTCTCACTGTGCGCCGCAAGGGAGTTGAGAGCACGGTGGACAGATGTCAGAGATATGGAAAGACCCATGTGCGCGAGGATCTTGATGAGCTTCTCGGGTGCGTTGCATGAGTGGAGAAAGATGCCGAAAGTACTTTGTAGTGTGTTGCAGTGCTGATCTCGATGATGCAGGAGGATGCTGATTATTACAGCAGCTTTCTTAGGTACAACGGAGTTGTATTAGGTCCTACACTGAACTCGTGAGGGGTAACATACAATATCGGTCAAAGATCGGTGTAGTTCTCGTAGCTTGCGAAGGGACTTTCGCCCCATCTGCCCAGACGGAGAGTTCTTCGACTGTGCTGCATGTGTCTCCTCTCCAGGAATATCCCCAACCATCTCCCAAAGCGCCGCATCCTCCTCCGGGTCATCGGAACCCTCTCCATCCGCACCATCTGTCACAGCCAACGAGCTGTGCCACCAAAACAAACAAGGGCAAAGCTTACTGATGCAAAGGTTGGTGCTGAGAAGCGAAGCAACCAGAGATGACACAGCAAGAGATGTGAAGAGATGTATTCCCTAGACTAGAAGGGGTGGTGAGGGAGGTAGGGCTGCTAGCTACCTACAGAGGAGATGGGGAATCGACGAGAAGATCAAGTCTGAGGTTCCCTGCCTCAGACTCCCTACTATATATACTAATACAATGGTGCACAGACCAGGTACTTATTGACCATCGTTTGGTCAGGGTTCTCTGCCTCATGTCCTACCCTCTGACCTGCCTCATGGTGACCTTATGACTAATACCTGAGTTGTGCCGAGTCTGGACCCCTCCCAATGAGTAAGCGCTCCAGCTGTCACATCAGTCACCTGCCTGTGAGTGAGGATGGGCGCTCCTGGCCGTCACGAGGTCTGGGGTTCGATCCTGGCCCCTCCACTTT